AGGTTATCGTTCCAGAATCTTGGGCAACTCCAGTGGGTCAAGGTTTCCGCAAAGAGCCTATTTCTCAAGCATAAAATCAGAAGACGAACAAAATAAACACTTTGACAATAAGAGTATCAAAGTAACAGAATATTGTAGGTTAACTTACACCGGTACTTTCTGATTTGGATTGAAACACGAAATAAGCCTGCACCAGGCTTTGAAGTATTCTTCTTATTGGTGCACCTGAGAACTGAACATCTTCGTGCGTGGTTTCTTTTCTTTGGAGAAATGAATTTACTATAGTTAACAGAAAAATAAATAGAAGTAAGGATCCGACGCCACAAGCACAGTGCGCGCCAAAGTGCGCCGACTGTCATCTGCACAACAGGTGAGCATCGCGTGGGCCCGAGGCGCGCTCTAGCGGACTCACTCGGAACTACATGGCCGCAGGACGCTGCGACGGGTGTGGTGGGGGACCTCCCAAAGACCTCACATAGACCTACCGTTTCGGACGTCCCGAAGTGCTCCAAGAACCGACTCCTTTGGGACGAGCGACCAGGGCGCGCTCTGGCGGCGAACTCTGGCACCACACACTAGGTCCCCGCGCGACGTACGAGAGAGCTTCATTTGTAGTACGTTTAGGGAGGTCCCGAAGAGCTCCCAAAACCGACTTCTTCGGGACGTCCGAAAGACCCCTTACAATAGCGAAGAGTTCCGAAACCTAGCCAAGGACTATTCCAAACTTGTCCACCAGCCCCGGACAGTTCCGCTTTCCCTCTGGTTAGGCCCGAATCGAGTCCGGGCCGAATCGGAGTCCGGACCGGACAGTTCCGTTTCTTGGTTTCAGAACCACTCTTAGTCAAGGACTGTCCGAAAGAGTCCTGCCTAGGTGCAGCTGTCCCGGACTGCAGCCCCTCGCTGGCCCAACCCGCCAGGCCCCGCGAGGCTCGAGTCGAGCAGAGGCGAGCCGGAGCCCAGCCGGCCCATGCACCTGAGCCGAGCCGGGGCGCCCGGACGTCCCGGCAACTGGGTACGCGGAAATCGCCGCTCGCCGGCATGCCGAAGCACGCCGAAGGGTCGCCGAGGTTACCTGGCGCCCTGGCGGACGCGGCCAGAGATGCAGTTTTAGCCAGTTTACGGCGAGCTGTTGAGCGAGTCACATCGCACAGCAGCGCATCTGTGATCAGTGAACAGAAAAACGCGCACAAGTCACATCTACTTTTCGCTCGATACTTTCTCGGAGCGATGTTCAGGCGATTCGCGACTGTTCTGGAAGTAATTTTTGGTGAGGTGTCGTGTACGGCGTTTTCCTAAACATTGATCGAATTTGAGTGCGTTGCTGTACGAAGTGTCCCAAACCAACAACTATCCACTGGCTGCTGGCTACCGCAAGTGTGTGTGTCTCTCAAACTTAAAGGACGGGCGGTGAGAGGGTGGGAGGTGTATTATTTTATTCGCCTCTCTTCTTTCACCCTCGTCCCCAAGTGTTTCCATCATTTGCAAACAACTTCAACGAGTTCGCTTGTGCAGGCATGTACTTGCAGGTATGATACACTTAGTGCATGATCAAAATTTGTGTGTAATATTCCACTGGAGGCTAATCGCGTCCCTTGCCGTGTGTGACCCGCCACCATGCCCCCCGAGCCGAGCCGAGTCGAGCTGAGCCGAGCCGATCGGAGCCGAGCCGCCTCGGCAGTGGAGGCTTGCTCCCGCGGAAAGTCCCCGGCCGGCCGGCCGAAGCAACCTGCGTCCGAAGGGAAAGGGGAAGGGGGAAAGGGAGGGGCGAGGGGCAGCAGGCTGGTGCATTTGTTCGGACTGTCCGTTTTTCGACTAGCGTTGGTACTCAGGACAAGTCCGGAATCTTTCTGACTTTGGTCTTTTTCAATGTTTTTGGGAACTGTCCGAGGACGGATTTAGGAACTGTCCCCGTCCGACTTTCGGAGCCGTTTCGGACGGTCCGCAAACGGCTGTTTTTGGCTGCTTTTCGGGCTCCATCATTTTCGTACGGGACGTCGGATTCCAGACATGTACTAGTTTTGTTTACGGGGAAAGGACCCCAGATAAAATTTCTCCAGGCAACTTTGCGCAAAGGTGAGCAGGGGTCGAGCACAGCCCGAGCCCTGCCCGGCACCCGGTGGGCAACTACCGGGCAACACCCGGGCAACACCCGGGCAACTCCGGGCAACATCCGGGCAACATCCGGGCAACACCCGGGCAACTCTGAGCAACTATCGGGCAACTTTGGGCAACTGTCCGGCTTGTTGAGGCATCACGCGGGCAAAGCCCCCCGCGGGCAAAAGTGCGCACCAAGTGACTCCAGCGCAGCGCGGCGCCCGAACTGCGGCTGCTTGGCCAGAGCGCCCAGCCCGGCCCGCCACCCTGAGCATGGGCCGGGTGGCGGCCCGGACCGTCAGAGGAGCGGGCCGTCGCACAACCCGCTCCGATCGGCACCACGCTTGGCTTCGGCTGCGTAGCCGAGCTCGCAACGCGCTGGCTCGCTGCGAGCGGCGGTCGGTTCGATGCCAGGCAAGGCAGCGCGCCGCTCGGCACCCATCCTTGTCTAACCCACTAGCCGCATTGAGTGCGAGAGAGATGCAAGATGTGCTCGCTCGTCGAGCGTCGAGCGCCGCCATAGGCAACCAATCTCACAGTGCAGCCAGCTGGTTGCCTACTCCTGTCCAGCAAGGCGCGCGGCGAGCCACCCTTACGCGCGGCGGCGGGAGAGGGAGGGGAGAGGGAAGGGGTGAGGTGAGCGTCTGCCCACCTCTGCCTCCCTACCCCTCCCCTCTCACCCTCCCCGCGCTGTGCGTTGGTTGAAATGTAAACAAACACCATGTTTGAAACGAAAAGGTTCGTGATGCTGCGGCCGTGTGATATTGACGTTGAACTTCTCACGTATCTTTATCACAATTTCGTGGCTCGCTTTATCCTTGCCCAGCGGTTCTCAACCTTGGGGTCGCAAAAAAATTTCGAGGGGTCGCGGCGAGGTAACTGGGGTCGCTTGGGGTGGCGGCGGTTTCCCAGCTGGCCCACACGCCGAGCACTGGCGGGAACAACTTTTAAGTTGATCAAAACGGTCACAAATGTCTTTGAAAAATCGTGTTTTGGGCCGACTTTAGACATCCACTGCGTCTGATCCGAGGCGGTACTTCGTCCTCCCTCAACGGGAAATTGATCTTTGGACCTTCCTTTAGCATGCCTTTGTTACGGAGTGCGATTATCTGCCTTAGTTTGGGAGCAGTATTGCCGCAAAAATGATCAAAACGGTCACAATCGTGTATTTGATCAACTTTGCGGCAATACTGCTCCCAAACTAAGGCAGATAATCGCACTCCGTAACAAAGGCATGCTAAAGGAAGGCCCAAAGACCAATTGTCCATTGAGGGAGCATGAAATACCGCCTCGGATCAGACGCAGTGGCTGCTTAAAGTCGGCCCAAAACGCGATTTTTCAAAGACATTTGTGACCGTTTTGATCATTTTTGCTGCAATACTGCTTCGAAACTAAGGTGGATTATCGCACTTTGTATCAAAGGCATTCTAAAGGAGGGATCACGTGGGGTCACGAAATTTTTCCTGGGTGTCGCGGAAATTTTTCGCTACAAATTTGGGGTCGCGAACCGAAAACGGTTGAGAAACGCTGTCCTTGCCCTTTATCCCTTGTAAAAATGAAAGTACGGATTTGGTACGGATCCAGACCGGGAATGGTACGGGTGTAGTCAGGGCGCGTCTGACGAAGGCTGGGTTTGGTCCGGACAGTGCCAGACCAAGTGCGGCTATCGTCAGGGAGGTGCCCGACTTGGTCTGGCTGTCGTCGGGGTGGTGCCCGACCTGGAGCGGCGGCGGATGAGCGGGTCAGGCCGCTGCGGTGCGGATCGGGTCCAGGCGGGTCGGATCGGATCGGATGGAGTCTCCTCAGCAGCGGGTCTGTTCGGGTCCGTATCGGGTCACTTTTCTCACCTCTGACTCAAGGCGGCTAGTGGGTTAGACAAGGATGGGTGCCGAGCGGCGCGCTGCCTTGCCTGGCATCGAACCGACCGCCGCTCGCAGCGAGCCAGCGCGTTGCGAGCTCGGCTACGCAGCCGAAGCCAAGCGTGGTGCCGATCGGAGCGGGTTGTGCGACGGCCCGCTCCTCTGACGGTCCGGGCCGCCACCCGGCCCATGCTCAGGGTGGCGGGCCGCACTTCGGGCGCCGCGCTGCGCTGGAGTCACTTGGTGCGCACTTTTGCCCGCGGGGGGCTTTGCCCGCGTGATGCCTCAACAAGCCGGACAGTTGCCCAAAGTTGCCCGATAGTTGCTCAGAGTTGCCCGGGTGTTGCCCGGATGTTGTCCGGAGTTGTCCGGGTGTTGCCCGGGTGTTGCCCGGTAGTTGCCCACCGGGTGCCGGGCAGGGCTCGGGCTTTGCGCAAAGTTGCCTGGAGAAATTTTATCTGGGGGAGAGCATTCCACTTCGGGCAAAGCGTTCCCAAAACAAAAAAATGCATGAAGTTGGGACAGCTGCCATTGCAAGTCCGATATCCAGAAAGAGAAATAAGAAAGGTATATCAGCCAACATTAAAGGTAGAAACACAATGGATTCGATAAAGGAGACATCTGTTTTTTTTTCTCGTTGACGAAATATACGTGTTGCCAGACACGCGAGTTGTAATCAGTCTTGCTGCTGTCTCGTCGATTGCTACCAGATAATCATTTCTAAAATCTATAATTGTCAAAAGTTTTGACAGCGTGACAAATTGCGCACTTTCAAGAAGCGAATGGAAAGAAAATATCTTCCACGTAATAAGCAGTGGAAACAGTATCTTCCACGTAATAAGCAGTGGAAACAGTAAGCAAAACAAACTCAAACAATAACGATAGAGTACTCCAAAGAAGCTCTGGCCCGGAAGAAGAAGAAAAACGGAAGTAAGAAATTGCAGTAACTATGAGAAATATACGCTGCGCAGTAGGGTCCGCAGCTTATATTTCTCATAGAAACTGCAATTTCTTACTTCCGTTTTTGTTCTTCTTCTTCCGGGCCAGAGCTTCTTCGGAGTACTCTATACGTAGTGCTGATACTGGCACTATTAAGTATTACGGTACGGGAATAATTAAAACAAAAAAAAGGCCGACAGTGACGAGGACACCAGGTTAACATAGTAGAGTTTCACACCGAGTGCTTCAATCAAAGATCTATAGAGGGGCCGTTTCACAAGCGTGTGTGTCGCGATGCCAAAGGACTCCTCGAGTGACTTCGCATAGCTTGACAGAGAAAAGGTCTTTCTTTAGGCAACACATTCCTACGGCTTCTCCCCAGCGTGAATCATCTTGTGTCGTAACAAAGAAGCTGACTGAGAGAATGCCCTCCCGCAGACGGCACACTTGTAAGGCTTCTCCCCGGTGTGGATCCTCTTGTGTGACACTAAATTAGATGAATCACAAAATGCCTTTCCACAGACGTCACACTTGTAAGGCTTCTCCCCGGTGTGGATCCTCTCGTGTTGCACTAAATGAGATGAAACAGAAAATGCCTTCCCGCAGACGACACACTTGAAAGGCCTCTCCCCAGTGTGCATCCTCTTGTGATTCACTAAATGATGTGAATAAACAAATGTCTTTCCGCACTCGCCACACTTGTAAGGCTTCTCCCCGGTGTGGATCCTCTTGTGTTTCACTAAATCAAATGACAGAGTGAATGCCTTTCCGCAGACGTCACACTTGTAAGGCTTCTCCCCGGTGTGGATCCTCGAGTGCCTCACAAGAACCCAATTCCTGGAGAACTCCTTGCCACACACCCCGCACGAGTGAGGTCCGCCCTCAGTGTGACTTGCAAGGTGGTCCCGCAATCCGCTCTCAGTCCGGAAACGCTGGCCGCACTCCCCACAGTTGAATCCGCGGCGCGCCTTCCTGCCCGTCTCCTTGCTCGAGGCCTGCTCGTCCTGGACCGCGTCGCCAGCCGGCACTGCGAGGGAGAAGGCCTCGCCGACGAGCAGCTGCTGGGCCTGCTCCGCGCCGACGCCTGCAACCAAGGGACGGCCATGGTAAGACGGACCACGACTTTCCAGGCTTTCCTTGCGATAACTTTTCGCAAAGGTTGCAGTGGCAGAAAGTTGTGTGGCCCTTAACGGAGAATCGAGGTTTCCTTGAGTTTTTGTCAGATTGCACTAAGTTCTTTGCCCTATACCGTAATCTCGTGCCGATAAATTCGAGAGACAAGTGCATTTTCAGGCAGGCTGCCCTGCAAAATGGTTGACCACCTATCAAGAGAACACTGGTGAAACAAAGGCATAAAAATTATGCCCTTAAAGGGCGTAAACGATTTACGCCCTTAAGGGCATAAATCGTTAATGCCTTTGGGAGGGGCATTAAAATTTTGCTTGATATTCCCATAACATTTACGCCCTTCCCAAGGGCATAAAACGATTTATGCCCTTGCATGGGCGTAAAAGAGCATTTATGCCCTAAAGGGCGCAATTTTTATGCCTTTGTTTTACCAGTGAATGCACTTAACTCGCGTCAGGGTAGCAGAACAGCGCCAAGTCTCGCACACTAAATTGTTAGAGCATTTTAGTCCGTAACTACGGCCATATTTGTACATTTTAAAGTTATGCTCAAATTTGAACATAGATTATGTACAATTTCGAAAATACTGAAGCACAATATGAAATATTATCTCAAATATTTGTATGATATTGTACAGGGCTTGCGTAAATACTAATATGGCCATGGTTATAAACAATTTAAGTAGTGAAACATTAAGTGTGCGTGTCGTGAGGGAGCCCATAGAGTGGAGTTGGACCACCCCATGTCATTTCAAGAACTCGCATTGGCTGCCGAAGCAACACGTAAGAAGCCTAGCGAGAGACTCACCTGCAGCGAGCTTCGAGTCCGGCATGCTTCCCTCCTCGCCAGGCTGGTCGAGCACTCCGTCCAGCGGCGTGCGCGGACCGCCAAGGCCTGGGCCTGGAAGAGAACCACCGTCATTGGCAGAACCAGCCGAGGGCGCAGAGGGGGCGGCGAGGGCCTTACCGCACACAGCGCACTGCACGCACGGGGACGGCTGAAGTCCGGAGCTCCAGTCGCAGTCAGCACTCTCCGTCGGCAAGTCGATGCTCTCGGCTTTCAGATCTAGACAGAAAGTAAGGGAGTCAGCATCCGACATAAGAGTCGGCGCCCAAAGAACCCGGCATGCAAAAGCCACACAGACATGCGAAGCTACGGGAGTTCGGGTCACATCAAACTAAAATAAGGAGGATGAATGTCAAGGGACATCAAAATCATCAACGAAAACTAAAAACCACTAAACAAAGTTCTACTAGCAATAACGAACATGTCTGAGTAAACATTGAGCTGCAGATAAATCGCATGGCTTATTTGCATCATCATACATGTAAGCTGATGAGTGCTTTGATCACAACTAGGCTAGAGCTTACAGGTATAACCTTTGATGAACATGCTCGTATTAGCACATTCACAAGGTGATAAGAACAGATGCAACAGAAAAAAAAACACTTGGATGGACGCTACGTCGGAACTGATGTGGGGGTACCAGAGCCGATGTATGATTTTAACATTGTCGAAATACACCTTAAATATAACTTTAACAGACAATACCGGCAAGCCACGATGATAACTTGTGAGCTTTCACGCACAAACATGGGGACTGGTCTCGGGATGAGTACTTTTAACATGTAAATGAGTCTTTCAACAAAACACGACAAAAGCGGTACCTGGTATTCCAGGAGGCTCCTGGAACACTCTCAGACTCGTACTAATTAGTTCAGTAGTAACGAGTGGACGTTTGGGTGCATTAATAGCGCTATCAACCAATTTGTTGGTGTAACTCGCGTTTCTATGAATATCTTACTGGTTTTTTGGCTAACGTAATCCCATTAATGCAATCAAACGTTAATGAATAAGTAACAAAATATCTGGACGAGATGACAGTAAACAAAGACCCCTTATCCAGGGTGGACCTGGGTATCACAGATAGGTGAACAGGTAACCAGGGCTGCACAACAATTATAACAGAACATAACCATGTAAAGATTTGCAACAGAAACCTCCGACCTCATTCGGCCGGCACAAACTTAACGCTTGCTAAAATAAATGGGAGTATGTATGTCGTTGTTTGCATCTTAAGGGGGGACCCTGGTGAAAAAATCGCCAAAATTCCAAAAAATGGAATTTTCAAAGTTCATAGATAAAAATGTGCATAGAAGGTTTCAAATTCAACAGGTGTTCAACCTTTAAGCTAAGTGGGTAGTTTCTTTATCATTTGGAAGGAAATAACATTGAGATCAGTTGTCGTTGGCTTCTACGCTCAACTTCACAGCTTTGCTCAGTCGACAAAAAAATTTGTCATAGAAAGACTTCCTGCGTTCCTGGTTGACACCTACATGAGTCGTCTTGCATGGACTCTATTCATTGATGACTTGTCGACAAATTTTAGTGACGGAATCTTGATATCAGCCCTACTTTTTTTTAAACACACCAAAAAGTTTGAAAAAAGGGAAAAAAATCACTTTTTTATTAATGTTGAAATTTGAAAACTCATATCTCAGGACAGAAGTTGAATTTGAAAATTCCGTCACTAAAATCTCTTCCATACATCTTTAGGATAACCCAAAAAAATTTTCAAGACTTTCCGTCCCAATGAAAGACGCAGGAAGATTTTTCCCCAATGCTCCAAAAAACACTAAAAAGCCACTTTTCTCAGAGACCGTTCAACATTTTGGGTTGAATTTTGTTTTAGGAACTCACCATAATGAACCTCATAATTAAGCAAAGTTTCAACTTTCTGGGATTATTTTGAAGCCTACTTGAAAGTTTCACCAGGGTCCCCCCTTAATTTGAATGGACGAACTAAGTTCCACAGGCTAGCCGGTCAAGCAGCTTTTAGGAAACTGACGCCGCCATCGTCAGAAGTCCAAAACAGGCCAATGTATATGACCGATGCGTAGCGCCTCTCACGACAGTTTCCGCTTCGTGGTCCATTCCACACCTCACACAGGTAAGACTTGTTCTTGGTTTATAGTGGCGGGAACGCGAGAACCGCTTCTCGCACACTTCACAGTTGCAATGTTTTTCACCCGCAGTGTTGACTCTTGCGTGTCCCGCGAGATGCGCAGCAGAGGACAACTCTTCGCCGCACACTCCGCACTCGGAGACGCGGCGCGCCTTCCTGCCCTTCTCCTTGCTCGAGGCCTGCTCGTCCTGGACCGCGTCGCCAGCCGGCACCGCGAGGGAGAAGGCCTCGCCGACGAGCAGCTGCTGGGCCTGCTCCGTGCCGACGCCTGCATCCAAGGGACGGGAGTTGCGTGTGAGCGCACGCCAAAAGCAGCGCCTGAGATTCCCAGGCCCACTCTGGAAAAAGGCGTCTATTTTCCAGGAGCCACCTGGGAGTACCAGGCGTCACTTTTGCCGTGCGGGGAACAAAGACAAACTGAAATCTGAAGCCCTTCACACATCCTGAAAGTGGAAAGAGAGGTTCAGCCGTGGGGTGCATCACTATAGTATTCATATGTACAAGTTGGCCCGAACTCAATGTACCCTCTTTATAGCCTACGAAGCATTTGCTTCATAACTGCGAAGTAAATGAAAGCTTTGTAGAATTGCTACGTATTACGAAGGATTTGGCTTCATGATACGAAGCAGTTCTTCGTAGATTTTACAAATGCCTTTATTTTCTTCGTATTACGAAGCGAATCTTCGTAGAGCTTTTACTGTGTACTCACAAGTTCAGAAAGAGACATGTTCGCAAATTCTTTACACGATTTGGCGTTGTGTGTCGCCTAAAACGTTAAAGAAGGCCTTTAAACATTTACAAACCAGGGATCCTTAACTTTACATTATAATATTAAAAATGTTATGAATTTTCATTACAAATATGCATCAAAAATTGATTCAGGAAGCGGAAGAAGGGAATAACTTGACTTATCCCCAAATTGAGTTTTTATTTTATTATTGTGCCTTAGAATGGTTTACATCATTACACCAAATTATTTGACTGAATTCCAAGCAGTTTAGGAGAAAATCCACATGGAAAAAGGGTATAACTCAACTTAACCCCTTTTACAGTCTAAATTTCATTGGGAAATGGAGATAACTCAACCTTAGTCTACATGAGTCCGTTTGACAAATTGGCAAAAGGATATAACTCAACTTGTGTTTTTATGAATCTAGTGTAAAAAGAATCAACTCAACTTAACCCCCCCTTAATTTTAAATTTCAATTTGGAAAAAAGAGCTAAGTCCAAAAAATACACCAGAGCAACATACACTTTATGCAGACTATTGTTCCACTTGACTTGTCTCCAAATTCCACTTTCTTTAGGAAATATAAGGTGAGCTGACTCTGTTTTCCATTTCAACGGAAAGTGATAAGTCGCAGAAATCCTCTACAGAATTACCTTCCACTTTTGATTTTTTTCCAAAATTTTACTAATGCTTTTTGAAATTATTAACATCTGCAACATTCATTTGTTTTGTTTTAGTTTTCCCTGCTAACACTTTTTTGTTTCTCCTGAAAAATGGCCAAAATTGAGTTATCCCCTTCTTCCGCTTCCTGGATCAATTCATGAACGCCATTATATTTCATAGCGGCCATAAAATTTCATTAATATTATGAAATGTCAGAACACATTCCATGAAACGTCATAATATCTCCTTGAAAAATCAAGTCTGCAATGAAACGTCAAGAGATTTGATGAAAAGTCAAAACGTGAAACGATAAATTTAGTGTGGTTCTGAAAATTTATAACCAAGATATAAACTTTTATGTCGGTCTTTGACATAATTAACTAACAATGCTTCCATAACGTAACATAAGACAATGTTCGCTAAAGGGTAAGGGTACGGACTTGTGCAAATACTTCTAATAGTATCTCCACACACATTCGAGACACAGGAAAGATACCTTATCCTTTTGAAAAGAAGTTAGAAGTTAAGGGTTATAAATTAAACTCGAACGATAACGCTATGATGCCCTTTTGAGTTAAGTTAAGGATCCCTGTTATCAACTTGAAATTTTTGAATTTCGTAAGTTGAACTCAGCCGTACTCGTATATTCATGTGAGTACACCAGAAAGCTGAGTGTTTCACTCCTCGGTTACAGCCCAAAATATAGACTGCTGAATGTTAGATTGAAAAGTGAGTTTAACTTACCATCTTCAACGTTGTTCGCTTCACTGTGGGCTGCACTTGAACCTGGGACGCTCTGCTCACGGTCGAGCACACGTCCAGTAACACGCTCACGATGGGGACACCGAGGGGGTATTTACTCGCGTAATAGACTGTACATGTCTGGCGTAATAACGCGTAATAACGCGTAATAGCGCGTAATGGCCGTAATAACGCGTAATAACGCGTAATAACGGCGTAATAAGGGCGTAATAACGCGAAATGTCATTCACTTCGGCACGCTTGTTAAGTCCCTGATACAAGGAGTAGTGACGGCTAGGACGCGGCGATACTCCTCACTACCCCTCTTCCTCGCTCTTCCTGTTCTTGCCCCCTCTACCCGACTGAACCATTTTCCCGCCACTTCAACATTGGCACGGTATGTGCAGAGGTCGGAAACGGCCTAGGGAGCTCGTGAGCGTGAGCCCGCGCCCCACCGCTGCCGACGGGCCGCGCGCGGCGGACCGCTCTGCACGGCGGTACTAAAATCGACAGAACTTTGTCAAATTTTCATCAAATCGATCAAACGAGGTCAGGTTTGAAATCTACACAAAATTTCCTTTCGATTATAAACAATGGTTTAGCGTTTCAAGTGTTTAAAACACGTTATTTTTCAATTTTAAGTCAATTTTACCGGCAACGGACAGCCGACTTGATATTTCTCATTCGCTTAAAAAGTGATTTTTGCTTTTTTTAAGTCAATACATGCAGCGAGCCGATTGTTTACCCTATGGCGTGGTGTGTTTGGAATGTTCAAACGACCGCTGGGGCGACCATAGAGATCTAAAACGTAACTAGGACATTTGGTACAAAATTGGGTTTTGCAACTCTGGAGGTTAAAAGCACAGCTTGTAAAAGCGCGTTTGTCATGTTCTAAACGCCTAAGCCACCGAGAATTTTATTCTCTCTCGCACTGGCCCTGTGGTAAGGGTTTAGCGAAAGGAGATCAAACTTCAGATATCTCGCAAAAGTTCCGAAACACTACGATAACGCCAAGCAAACGTACAACAGAGCGTACAAGCAAACGATTGAAAATCTGACACCACCACGTTGTAGCGCGGACAATTTTGCAAGCCATAGTCTAAGTTTATCTCAATCGGTATCCGCTAATACTAGACGCGTAATAACGCGAAATACTTGCGTAATAACGCGTAATACTTGCGTAATAACGCGTTGTACTAAGAGACGTAATAACTCGTAATAGACGTAATAACGCGTAATAACGCGTAATACAGGCGTAATAACGCGTAATAGGCGTAATAATGCGTAATAGGCGTAATAATGCGTAATAAGCGTAATTGTAATAGACTGTACACCAAAATCCTGAGTAAATACCCCCTCGGGGGACACACGTCACTCAGTACGCGCTCTTCTGCCGCTTCACTGAAAATGAAAGATTTATGATCAATACGCAGCTTAGGACGAGGTACCTAATCAACCACAGATGAGAATTTTAATAAAGGGTGTATTTGCAGCGTATTAAGCCAGATAGTGTTAAAACCCAAAGTACGGCGAGGAGACCTTCCTGATTGGGACATACACACGGACCTCACTCAAAACCTTAGTTCTGATCATGACTCTTTCACCTGGCTTTTCTCAGCACTCCCTATCTCATCATGAAAAGGGCGCATCAGTACAATTGCAATTCAAAAAGGTCTGCCTTCTTGAATTAGACCAAGCTAATATGACAGGCTGTATCACTCCTTACATTAGGCGAAAGTCGGAGAAAACGGCTAAGAAAAACGTGGCAAACTATGTACGTCTCTATGATAATAATGTACAGGCATTCCGGTCGTGGAGACGTGAGCAATTCTCTCTCACAGCAACGAAGCTCAAAACCTTCATGTCTCAGAGTCTGGTCGCGATAGGGAAACTAGCTTCAAATATTTGGCTCTCTCTTTCATAGAGGCCACGGTTTCGAGGTGAGAACGTGTGAGAATGTTTCAAACCTAAAAAGTATCGCAATGGTCTCTTTATCGGCATATCTTGAATGCTACTTGTCCCTTAAGAAAGGAGCATGAAAAGTTGGGTCTTTGACATACGAAACCTCTAAATGTTTATTCATTTCTCTGCATGTCCACCGGATTACCGGTCTACACTGGTAAAACTAAAGCGTAATTCCATGCTCGAGTCAAGCATAAAGTTACGCTTCAAGACGTCCTTTGTTAAAGAGTAGTTTACAAAGCAATAAAAAGTACTATTTCCTCCTTATCTATGTAAGATTTTGTTCGTTATATTGACTTAAAGTCAATTTGCTGTTGACAAAGAGTCAATACGTAACTGACTAAAAACCAGCCAGCCCCTTTTATAAAATTAGGATACGCACTTGGTTTATGGACCCTCGAGTAAAAGCTAGCTGACACCTTTAAGTGTCTTGTAGCTGTAGTTTTAGGTATGTTTTTAAGTATCATCTGCTAAAAATAGGCATAATAATTGATGACAATTTAATCTTTAAAGTGAACAATAGTGTACCTGGGTACCAAGGAAATACTACATATTATTGCTGCTTGAAAAACTACGTAAGCAAAGGACAAAAAGTAAATAACGAAGAGAAAAAAGTCAACGTGTCCGAGAGAGTACGCTTGAAATGAAGCATACTCTGGAAATTATCCCATGCATTCAGATAGGGGGAATCTAGGCGGATGAGCCTGTAACGCTTGATTTCAAGCGTAAACTGATGACGCTTGAAAACAGAGGGTAATACTAATTTTACCAGTGTAGATCTTCTCCGAAAGACCTTTAACTTCCGCATATATATCCGTAGCAGATCAAATCTTTATTTCTCAATCAATTAAACACAAGTGGGCCAAATCTCAGCCACCTGGCACGAAAACCCTCAAAAAGTTTAGTCAGAGTGAAAAGCAGGGCTACACAGATTAGACAGAGAAAATTAAGCACTGAGAAAACCTTGCAAACTATTTTAGGCCTTACAAAGAAAGGCAGTTTGTTACAACAAAGTATATTGAGCATACAAACGCTTACAAAGGAAATATATCGTAAATGATGAACTACTTCTTCGTAGAACGAAGTAATTTAGGAAGAATAATGTGTGCATAAATTACTTTGTAAGGTTATAGGCGTGAGTGACTTGACATTTTGTCGAGCGCCTGGTCAATGGAAAACGCACCCACTTCATATCAGACAAATCCGAGAGGGTTGGCGACACGTAGGGCTTAGTAGTGCACCTGCGTAACATTCCGTTGGGCGAGGGGCCTGCGTAACGTCACGCTGCGGGGGAGTGAGGGTCGGGCCCTGCGTACCACTCCGTTCCATAGGTGAGGAGTTCAGAAGTTTCGAAAAATGTTTAACGCACATGAAGGGCAATCTTCCACCCGCCTCTAAAGCGCCACGCTTTGCCCAAAGACGGCCATAAGCCTACCTTGACTTCCGGTTCGACGGGCGAGCCTGGACTCGGCCTCGCTAGCCGCCCTTCCTCTATCGTAAGTCCTAGGCCTGTGCGGACTATCATTTGACCCAATGCCTGAGGTAAGCCAAAATCGGAAGCTGAAAATGAAGACAGAAACAGAAAATGAAACTCTGGGCTGTTAATACGAAACACGGGACCAGAGGCCAAAATTGGGTTTAACTTGGGATCGAAGTGGATCGTGCGAAATAGGTTATCAAGGGGGGCTATCAAACTGAAGTGGGTAGGAAGGAGAACATCCTTCTTCGGCTGGTTTTACGTACGTTCTAACGATGAAGGTCGAAAACTTTACTTCGTGATGTCTCGTTTTTAATGCCAAACCGGAAGCAACCAAGGGACAGTTGATATATCTCAACTTTAACAGTTAAGATTCGACAGAACACCCCTGTACACTACCCACCTGCCCACGGGACTTTTCCACGGATAGGGACGGTAGAGATCGTCAACATAATTTTTAGTCGATTCTGCCCTCTGGATGACTACAATCACATAAGATGGTTCCTACGACGAGCTTCACGTGTCTCGGACGTACATGGTTGCGATCATCTTTCATGTCTGAAGTTTCAGACTATTAACTCCAAAATGTAACACTCTCCAGTTCTCAAATTTCAGACCATCTAAGTGGTCTGAATTATCAGACTTTTTTTTTCACAGTGAGGCGCATAAACGTGTGCTTCAGAAATGCTGTAGAACGAACGGTGTCCTCCAACCCTCACAGTCACGAATCTACCACCAGAGGCGCCTTCGCCCGTCAGTGGAGTGTTCTACTTTCTAACTGCCTACTCACCAGTTGCAGTCCGACGTCGGGCTAACTGCTGTGTTGCTGCTTCAGCGCGATGGCGGACGCCAGCGTTTCTGGAGATGGTGAGAATTTCCATTCGTATATTGTAGTTCCACGTTTCGGTGAGCCTGTAGAAACGCAACATGAGAGATGAAGGATTATCTTTGGGCTGAACGATGAGGTTTTCTCGCAGTTCTCAAGGCGAATAACTCACCTTCCACGGTTGGCCCTAGTTGTCGTGGGGGAGTCTCGGTTCACTCGGGGTTCAGTCGGAAGCCACGTTCCCAGAGCGCTCTGTACGACACACCACCTGCATCTAACTTTTGCAGTCCCCAACTGGACGTCCGGGACGAGTTCTCTTAGGACCTCGCATCGGGATCACTATGCACTCCAAACATTATACAGAAGGGTGCTTCACTGATGCAGTTGGACACAAGAATGGGAATGACCATCTGAAATAGAGCGTTCAAGTAGTTGCCTATCGAAGAACGAGAGGAAGAACAAAACCGGAAGTCGGGAAGATAGGGAGCAAGTACCACGGCCGGTGAAAGGGAAATATATTCACAGTTAATTTTATTTCTTCTCTTCAAAAGTATTGGAAACCGACGAAAGTGCTTGTAGAAGAGAAACGCTTCGGTAAAGTCTTAAATTGATCCACTCACATGGGTCTGGGATTATTTTGCCGGTACCGCTTTTTTTTTCCCTCTCGCTCTTCGATCGGCGACGACTCAAATGCTCTCATACCTGGACCGGAAGTCTTGGCATGCGCAGACTGTCTGAGAGTGGAGGGGGGACGTCAACGCATACGCGGAAGCGGTTTTGGTTCTTACTTCTGTTCTTTGACTTCCGGACTAGGGATTCATGAGAATACCTTATTTCGTGTTGCGCGACAGGGTGGGCACAGGGTGCTTCGGTGGACCCACCGGAAGTGAGTTGCTATGTTGGCGGCAGAAGATCGTTAATTGACACAGCTACTAGACATTTGGGGTATTTTATCGAATTCCTGGACCGGAAGTCAAAGTCTAAAGGAAGAATCGGAACCACCTCTGCGCATGCGCAGACGTCCCCCCTCCACTGTGAGGCAGCGTCTGCGCTGAAACAGTTTTGGTTATTACTTTTGTTCTTCCATTTCCGGTCTGGGGATTCGTTAAAATACCCTATCAACTTAATAGTGATGGCCGTTCGTTGATTTCGTTACGCAGTTTTGGGCACTTTCTGACACGCGTTCCCCGTCTAACGTGACGTTACGCAAGACCAGGCCGTCAGCGCAACGTTACGCCAGGTTAACACTAATTTTACTGAGGGGTCGGCAACTCATAAATTACTTCGTACGCGGTGGCTGTATTACCCTATGTTACCATAAATTACTTGCATATTACCACAATTTCGCCTCACAATACCCCTATATTACTATGGGGTTACCCCAGCAGGTATACAGTCCCACCAGGTATAATCCCAACAGGTATAATCCCTACAGGTATAATTCCCACCAGGTATAATGCCCACCAGATATACACTATTTAATTTTAATGTTATTTACACGGATTCCCAATAAGTATAAATCCCAGCAGATACACACCCATTTTATTTACCTCTGGAATTAATATGCTCGGCACGCTAGTTGAACAGTGCCTCTCGGTTTCTTAAGTCCCAGGCAGATTTTCTTCGCATCTAATGGCTGAATTTGCAACGTCTATTGGACCTTTATTCGTTTTCCTCTAGTAGACGTCTGCAAACAGACAAACATTAGACCAATCTAGTGTTGCCCTTGCCTCTGTATACCACAGCACTGAGAATGAAAGAGTCACCACCATCACCCTTTCATTGGGTAACGCACGCACCGTTGCCCAAATTTGGGTGACGAGCCCGCGGTGACCAAATTTTGGGCAGTCATAAAATCGTCGCCCAAATTTGGGTAACGCCGTCGACGACGCCATTAGGTCCCCGATGACGCTCTTCCGGGGCCACCACGATGACCCAATGTGGCGTTGAGGCCTCCGGTCATCGTGGTGGCCCCGGAAGGACGCCATCGGGAACCTCACGGCGTCGCCGACGGCGTTACCCAAATTTGGGCGACCAAACGCCTGTTACCAAATTTCGGGTGATGAATTTTTCGTCACCAAAATTTGGGCAACGAAGTTGCATCACCCATTTAAAGGGTGATGGTGGTGACCAATTCATTCTCAGTGAGTAGCGCAACTTGAATAACGATCGAAACGCGAGTTGCATACCCCCTAGCGAAGGCAGTTTCATCGGGAGTGCATTTCCTGCAGGGAATGCGCTCGAGTCCAAGCTGTCATCATGCCAATTTGTAATCAATCATTTCGTTGTTTTTCTTCTAATGTATTCCTGGTGAGAATTATACCCATTGGGATGTATACCTGATGGGAATTATACTTGATGACACACATAAAAATCTAATATTAATACCTGTATATCTGGTGGGATTTATACTTGCTGGGAATCCACGTATAGATAATTAAAATAAAATAGTGTATATCTGTTGGGAATTATACCTGGTGAGATTATACCTGGTGGGACTGTATACCTGCTGACATCACCTCATTACTATATATTACTTTGAATTACTTTTACCTGTATTACTGGTAATATACGTATACTCCCTCGTACACGACCAAGGGAAGTTGCCGACCCCTCGAATTTTACCCTCTATTTCAGTCCGAACTTCTGTGGTGGACTGTCGTTTTCTACGTGTAAGCGCAACGTTGCGCTGGTTCGGACCTCTCAAGCTGTTAAGTTGAGCGTATAAGCCAACGACAACTCACCTTATTGTTATTTCTTTCCAAATGGTAAAGAATCTACCCACGTAGCTTAAAGGTGTTCAACCTGTTGAATCTGAAACCCTCTATGCAAATTTTTATCTATGAACTTTTAATATACTGTGTTTGGCAGTTTTTGCCAATTTTTTCACCAGGGTCCCTCCTTCAGGGCGTGAACGATTTCCGCCTTTGGAGCAGCGTGAATCGTTCATGCCTTTTGGAAGGGCATTAAAATCTTGCGTTTAAGTCCTACCGTTTACGCCCTTCCCAAGGGCATTAATCGATTCACGCCGGCGAAGGGCGTAAAAGAGTATTAATGCCCTGAAGAGCGTAGTTTTTATGCTTTTGTCTTGCTAGTGTGTAGATCAGGCGAAAAACGCTGGTATTAAAAGGCCTTGACAATTTTACCCCAATGGATGTGTTATTTTACCCGTGCATGTCAGGTCAAATTTCGCCAACACGGACGTGCAATTTTCTACCACCCACGGATGGGCACTTTTCACTGCCATGTCGCACTCTGAGGCGTTTACGCGCCCATTGGTCGAAAATTCGCCAATTTTTTTTTACAGTGCAATTCCAGCTCTAGCAGAATCCAGCTCAGCAGCGAGGCCTAAGGCCGTCCCCTGGCTCCACTGAAATTCCAAACGCTATGAGTATTGCACGTGTGGTGCAATGCGTCGACCGAGGGGGTATTTACTCAGGATTTTGGTGTACAGTCTATTACAATTACGCTTATTACGCATTATTACGCCTATTACGCATTATTACGCCTATTACGCGTTATTACGCCTGTATTACGCGTTATTACGCGTTATTACGCCTATTACGAGTTATTACGTCTCTTAGTACTACGCGTTATTACGCAAGTATTACGCGTTATTACGCAAGTATTTCGCGTTATTACGCGTCTAGTATTAGCGGATACCGATTGAGATAAACTTAGACTATGGCTTGCAAAATTGTCCGCGCTACAACGTGGTGGTGTCAGATTTTCAATCGTTTGCTTGTACGCTCTGTTGTACGTTTGCTTGGCGTTATCGTAGTGTTTCGGAACTTTTGCGAGATATCTGAAGTTTGATCTCCTTTCGCTAAACCCTTACCACAGGGCCAGTGCGAGAGAGAATAAAATTCTCGGTGGCTTAGGCGTTTAGAACATGACAAACGCGCTTTTACAAGCTGTGCTTTTAACCTCCAGAGTTGCAAAACCCAATTTTGTACCAAATGTCCTAGTTACGTTTTAGATCTCTATGGTCACCCCAGCGGTCGTTTGAACATTCCAAACACACCACGCCATAGGGTAAACAATCGGCTCGCTGCATGTATTGACTTAAAAAAAGCAAAAATCACTTTTTAAGCGAATGAGAAATATCAAGTCGGCTGTCCGTTGCCGGTAAAATTGACTTAAAATTGAAAAATAACGTGTTTTAAACACTTGAAACGCTAAACCATTGTTAATAATCGAAAGGAAATTTTGTGTAGATTTCAAACCTGACCTCGTTTGATCGATTTGATGAAAATTTGACAAAGTTCTGTCGATTTTAGTACCGCCGTGCAGAGCGGTCCGCCGCGCGCGGCCCGTCGGCAGCGGTGGGGCGCGGGCTCACGCTCACGAGCTCCCTAGGCCGTTTCCGACCTCTGCACATACTGTGCCAATGTTGAAGTGGCGGGAAAATGGTTCAGTCGGGTAGAGGGGGCAAGAACAGGAAGAGCGAGGAAGAGGGGTTGTGAGGAGTATCGCCGCGTCCTAGCCGTCACTACTCCTTGTATCAGGGACTTAACAAGCGTGCCGAAGTGAATGACATTTCGCGTTATTACGCCCTTATTACGCCGTTATTACGCGTTATTACGCGTTATGACGCGTTATTACGGCCATTACGCGCTATTACGCGTTATTACGCGTTATTACGCCAGACATGTACAGTCTATTACGCGAGTAAATACCCCCTCGGCGTCGACATATCGCACCATACGTGCAATGCCTCAGCCATATTGCACCTTAAGTGCAATGCATCCCGAAAATGTCCTATGCTAATGCATGGGAAAAGGGAGGCATTGCACTTCATGTGCAATGCTTTTGCATCGCACCAATTGACGCTTTACTCATAGCGTTTGGATTCTCAGTGTAGTATTATGTATGCTCTCAATACTTCGCCAGGTCGTAAGCGTGTTGCCTTTCTGTCCCCGCAGGAATGCCGCAGTGCCTGGCTGCCCCGGCCGTGCCGGTGGAGTCCCTGCCCGACGAGGCGCTGGTGGCGGTGCTGCGCCGCGTGCCGCTGCCGGACCTGCTGCTGTGCCGCGCGGTGTGCCGCCGCTGGCGCGACCTGGCGCTGCACCCGGACGCGTGGCGGCACCGCGAGTTCCGCGACATGTCCATCGACGTGCCCCGGAGCGTGCTGCCCGCCGTGCTGCGCCTCGCGCCCTGCCTGCGCCGCCTGGACCTGTGGGACGTGGTGGGCGAGGTCGCCGTCACGCGGTGCGCCGTCGCCGGCCTCAAGCTGCGCTACGTGGAGAACGGCTTGGTCGCCGCGCTGGCCGTCCGCCTCCTGGTAACGTCCACGCCACTGCCGAGCCATTCGGAAGCGCGGTCTGTCTCTCTCGCACACTCTCGGCACGTTACTGACTCTTTTCTCCCTAATTACGTATTCGTATAGCAACAATAATACTCAAAGTTTTGTTAATATTTCCTAAGTAGTTCTTTAAAATAGGAAAAGTACGAATCTTGATTGCACAAATTTCTTGCATAAGTTCTGTCAAAATGACAGTCATGCTATGAAAATCTTATAAACTATATTAATATTTGACCTAATTAGACCTCTCAAAGAAAAGCAGCGTGTTCTCACAAAGAGTACAAAGTAAACACTTCGTAATTTACGAACTTCTTCGTATCACAAAGTAGTTGGTGCCTCATATATGCTGAAATAACTTCGTGTTCACGAATGGGTGCGACAGGGAGCGTCAAAACGGTCCTTCTGAATCGCAAGGGAAAGTAACTTCAAATTTCAATCTACAATTTTTTTTAATTTCACGTGAATTTTGGATGAATTTCTACTAATTGCATCCAGATTTCTATGAATTTCGGGATGAACTACACTACACTCTCATTCCACGAACGTGACTGATAGCGTATGGATAGTGAAATTGATGTGGAATTTTTATGAATTTTTACTAAATTGCACGAACTTTGACTAAGAAAGTCCATGAAGTTTGATGTACCACTTTTTGGCAGTTGTGTCCCCCTGCTTGCCCGGGTCGAGTAGTTAGCGTAACGTCCATATTTGCACCCAATCGACCGTGGTCTGCGCTCCCAAGACCCCACTGAGCTTTTTCTTCGTATGACGACCATAAAGTTTAGTATCTTGACTGCGCAGCGAAAGTACCATACGGGTTCTCCTTCACTTGTGTCTAGTTCCTTCATATTTCGCACAAATGTCTCTGGGTTACGATAGATTTGTTTTGTTAAGTATTGGGAATTAGCTTAGTATCATGACTACAAAAATTGCTTTTGTGTATTCGGTCCTTGAAAAACTGGCCACTTCTAAATTTATTTGTACTGTTGCATTCTCAGCCTCATATAGTGTTATTTTTGTCATTTTATTATTTTTTCTCTTTCTTGCCTATAAAGTAATTAAAGTAGACGTTAACCTTACTATTCTCTCTTCAGCTTTGCCAGAACTTGTATATTGTGGAGAGTATCAAGTCCTTCGGACTTGACTTTTTGTAAATATGGTGTCATGTAGTGTTTGATAATACGTCGAATTTTAACAATTAAAATTTAAAAACGGTATAAATTGTGTGGATAAAATAGTACATTTAACGTCTGCTCTAAATACTTCACAAGAGAGGAAAAGCCAATACGAGAGTGTGAGCCCACGTTCGCCCCAAACATCACTGCAAATCCAGTGGTGAGTTTGCTGCACAAATTTGGCAAGCCGTTTAGAATGCCAAAATTTGGCAACCTTTGGTCGGAAATCTTAACAAGCATGCCAAACTTTGGCAAGCTGGGTGGTATTCTCAGGACAAGCTTGCCATTTTTTGGCATTCGAAACGGCTTGCGAAGTTTGTGGCAAGCAAACTTGGCAAGCCGTTTTGCAGTGATTGGTCCGGATGCTGCGAGGCGGCCCCGATGCGTGCCACTCTGACACGGACCTTGGTTGTTGCAGGCCGCCCTGGGCGAGACCCGCCCCCAGCGGCTGGTGGACCTGACCGTGGGCGGCTGCGAGGCCCACTCCGTGGCGCTGCTCCGCGCCGTGCTGGACCTGCGCGGCCTGGAGAGCCTCAAAGTGAGCGAGTCGCCCGACATGCGGAGGACCGTGACGAGCCTGCCCCCCTGGGCGCCGCCCCCCGCCTCTCTGCGGCGGCTGTGGTGGCAGGGCAAGGTGGCAGCGCACTGCGCGCTGCTGGCGCTGCTGCAGGCGCACGCCGCCACGCTGCGGGAGGTGGTGCTGCGCCTCGCCACCAAGGAGGGCGCCAAGGTGGAGGCCAAGACGGCCCCCGCCCTGCTGCTGCTGCGCCACTGCGAGCGCCTCCAGAGCCTGAGCGTCCAGTGGAACGCGCCGGAGGAGAACGACGGGGAGGACTCGGACGACGAGGAGGTGTGGGAGGACGACGACGAAGACGACGTCGACGAGCTGCCGCGGGCCGACCCGCTCGTCAAGGAGGCCCTGAAGGGCGTGCTGCCGCGCCTCGCGGACCTGAGCCTGGCGCAGGACTTGCCGTCCGACCTGCACGCGCACGTCGTGGACTGCGTCCGGGAGCAGGCGGCCCCGTCCGGCGCGTCCGCGCTGACCCGCCTCGCGCTGCGCGACGGCCAAGGCGCCCAAGGCAACCACGCCTCTGTGATGCTGGCCCTGCTGGCGACCCTGCCCGTGCTCGTGCACCTCGTCGAGCTGGAGGTGGAGTTCGCCTGCGACGCGCTGCTCGACGCCGTGGACCCCGACACGCTGCCCAGCCTGCGCTGGCTCTTCTCCAACAGTGTGCTGCACAGCACTCGCGCCTGGGCGCACCGCGCCGCCGTCACGGCCTTCATGGCCAGGAACCCGCGGGCACACCTGGGGGCGCCGATGCGGGCCCCCTGCGGCCGCCAGTGCGCCGAGTGCAGGCTGCCCTGCTACTGCCTGGTGCACTGCGACGACCAGAGCTGGTCCTGCGTGGCGCTGTACAGCCACGGCCCGGACGACTGCAGCGTGGGCGGCCACGGGGACAGCCGCGGACACGACTGCCCCATCAAGAGCGTGCGGCTGGCGGCCGGCCTCTTGGTGGGCAAAGGTAGGCATTTGCACCGGTTTGCGAAGTAGAATAATGAACTCATTTAAAAAGCAATAACTTATTTATGGGTCATTCGCCGCCGAATCGACGACGGTCTGTTGTTGAGGTCGATGGATTCGGTCCAAACCACTTTAAATTGATGCATTGGGACCCCAAAAAAACCCCTCAAAGAGGATTTTTTTAAAATATTTTTTCTCAAAAAAACCCAAAATTTTCAAGTTTTTTACATAAGAAAATTTATGAAACAAAGTGATAGACGAGCATAATATTTTAACGTAGTTTGAGAATTTTGACAATACTTTTTCCTAGGATTCACCTTAGGTGACCGCTTAAAACCCGAGGGGTGAATCACTAGTGTACTCATCTGTACAAATTTGCCCGTACTCAGTGTACTCCCAAGTTTTAAAAACGTGAATTTCTCTAGTTTTTCGACCGATTTAACGTCGAGTGCCGTTAAAAACGCCAAATAAAGCCCTAAGACTTAAAAATTTTGAAATTTATGAGTAAAGCAAGGTGTACTCACCCGTACTCATGTGTACACCAGAACGCTGAGTGATTCACCCCTCGTTTAAATCACTAAATATTTCATGTGACAATATGTATCTTCACTAAATCGGGTTGATAAAATTTTAGCTAAAATTTTAGTCGAAACTTATGACGACAAAGCACATTGACTCAAAAATCAATTTTCTAAGGTCAAAAAGTTACTAATGATACATCTTCAAGCCAGGGCAGAATAAACACCTCGAGAATCGATCCCATTGCTGCTCAAAATGTTGAACACAAATTATTTTAGGTATTTTGCTCTCCATTTAAGGGGGGACGTCACTCCAAAATGATCAAAAATTGCAACTTTTTTTTATTAGTTTATATTATTGACCATTCCTTTCTGCGTCGAATGGTGAAAACCGCATTCCGGAATTCAAAAAATTGCAGTTTTAGTACGTTGTGCGCCGCGAACATGCATAGGGGAAAAGCCCAGTTTCCCCAACTTTGATCGCGTTTTTCTCGGAACATGAAATTGCAAACGGTTGCAGGCCTCTAGGGCGCAGTTTTTGAGCTACAGCGGGGAGATTTAGCATGGAAGCTCCTCCGACATGCCGCTATGGTGGGTAGCAAAATAATTTGCATTGGTCAATTTTTATTATTTTTTAACGTTTAAAATTGAACAATTTTGACTAAAAAGATTGAACAATATTTTTTGCTATGTAACAAACACAACTTAAAATGATTTTTGAAATGTGGTTGAGGTACCCACCATAGCCAGACATCTCTGGAAGGCTCTCACCAAATTTCAATGTTCTAGGTCAAACCGTTTGGCGTCCATCGCTGCAACAGTGCGAAATGGTCTAACCTAAAACTCAAAAAAGTGTTTTCAACGAAAGCGCTGTACTGCCCTGGCGGATCGACTTTGTGTTGTTTTATACTTAATCTGTTAAAATATGAACAATTTTTCTCTTTCCGTTTGGTTTTTATGACGTTTTTACAAAAGCACTGTTTTTGGAGTACTGTCCCCCCTTAAGCCTAGACCCCTAAAGTAAATGGTGGTAGTGGTGGTAATTGTGGTCCATTGTTTCAAACAGCTGATTCTACAGAGACAGCATTGTTTGTAAGTGGTCTCTACAGATAAAACTATTACACCTGTCCTCACTCATAAAATCTTGAAGCCTACTTCTGCGCTTTAAGACCGTAAGAAGAGCTACGCTTGATGCCAAGCGTACTCAAGCCAGGTCAGAAATTCTTACACCCTGCTTCAAGCTCAAAGTCAGTATGCTCAATTTCAAGCTAATTAAAATCCTTGCTTCATTTTACAAGCACAGGAGAATGCACTCATTCATTATGCAAAATCAGCTCAATTTCATCTAAGAGCATATCTTAGCTTCATGCATCTTTCATACATTAAATGAACTTTCAAAGAAAATCAATTTAAGTAAGAATTTTTCGACCTGGCTTGAGATTAACTATTTCTCATTTACTTGTTTCTTTTTTCTTCTTTTTTAACAGTGCAGGGACACTCCTGTCTCGCCTCACGCTCTGGCTCTTGTAAACTAGTAGAACTTTGGGTGGGGGGGGAGTGTTTCTCATTCTCTACTGGCACCCTAGACAGTGGGACGGGCGACAGAGGCGCCCAGTTTCTGGGCATGCTAATTTAGAGTGTGGGGACAGTGTACTGCTCCAGGTGAATTTGGAGTGGTCTTATTCATGCCTTTAATTTGACAGTGGGGTTCCGACACTTCACCTGGACGCGCTGGCCGCTGTGCACTCCGAGGGGCGGTCCGGCTCCCGTGCCGCTGCAGGGACGAGTGGAAACCGACGTGGTGAGTGGCGCTGGCTTTTCGCCGAGAAGTCTCTCCTAGACAGGCGCGCTGCGACGCGGACCAAGGGGAAACAACTCGCAAATTAAAACACCCTAATTCAATAAAAATTTGAAATTCACCGAAATTTATTAAAATTTGTCGAGGTTTTCCTCAAACTTCAGTAGCTTTTTTTATGTAACTGAAATTTATTTGATTTGCACACCAATATTCAGTTAGTACCCCTTGGACGTGACAGGCGGGATACATAGAAAGAAACTCACTAAGATTCTCCGCAACTACACGAAAATTCTTGGTCTTTTACGAAAAATCCCCACAGGAACCTTCGTCAAGTCCCAATTTATTTCCAACGGTGGTCATTTTATCGTATGACATTGATAAACAACGTGAATGCTCACGGTTTTTGGCCCGAGCAGCTCATCCTTGGATCTTAATGATCTCAACATAACGACGGAGATCAAATCTTTTCTGAATAGCGTAACCGAAATTCTCAAATTTTTGTCTTTTTTTGCCATGGTTTTGGTGTGTTTTTCGCGAAAATTATTTTGAGCCGTAATGGCCGGGTCACAGGTTCTGAGGTGCACATAACCCCCCGCTCATTGCGAATTGGAAAACGAATGTCCATTTTGATGTGCGGTGCGGAAGTGTCTTTGTTGACGGTGTGGTGCCTGCCCCGCAGACGCAGTGCTTGCCCGACAGCGTGCTGGTCCAGGTGTTCCGACACCTGCCATTGGAGGACCTGCTGCTGTCCCGGGCGGTGTGCAGGCGATGGAGGGACCTGGCGCTGCACACGGAAGTTTGGTGCACCCGCGTCGTGGAGCTAGACTCGGATCACCTCTACCGGAGACGTTGGCTGGCTCTGAACCTGGGTCTGCGCCTGGCGCCCTGCATCCAAAGTCTAGTGGTTTCCATGAGCAAAGTTTCGCCTTCCCTCATTCAACTTGCCGCCATCCCGTGCCCAGTGCGACGTCTCAGGATAGTTTGCTCTCTCTTCAGAGAGGAAGATTCAGCAAAGTTGATTATGCGCTGTGCACTCGAGAAGATAATACGCCGGCAGGTAAGCAAGAAACGGGCTTCTCGTCATTTTCACTGACCAGTTGGTCAAGTAGTATTGCTGACAAATTTGCATGCACCGCATGAAATGTTTTGTACAGTTACAGTTTTGTGCGAGACATCACAGTGTTTGGTGCACACAAACTTATCGTACAATTACGAAAAACCGCACAAATTTCCCCATTTTTGTTCAATATATCGTTCAAATTTGTACGAAAAGCTCGTGTGCTTCAAAAACTGCGATGTCTCGTACTAAATTTGTACAAAAACATTTAGTGTGTGGGTCTGTCGGAATAGCTGTTAGGCAGTTAGCTGTGCACACTGACAAGAGAACATGTTCACGCGGTTCTCTCAGATTTCGTTCAACCTTTTTAGGCACGAAGTAGCCTTATAGTATACCCAGGATTCAGCCGGCCCGAGATTCGATTTGTGTGGCCCTTTATGCATTTCGGAAATTTTCTATACGATTTTAATGAGATTTTGCAGACTTGTAGAACTTTGAACGCTGATTCTGATGCTGAAATCTGGTTAAAAAGTCAACGGCCAATTTTGAGAAATTTGCTGTCAAAATCGCCGTTTCCATGGCAAAACTCGACTCGTCAAAGGAAAAAAAGGGAGTGGGGGGAGCCGAGCCGAGCCGAGCCGGACCAATAGCGGAGCTTCTTTTTGGGTCTGTACAGCTTACTCCAAAAGCTGAAATAGCACGTTCGAAATGAAAAATTTCTTTGACTGCAGGTAGACAAGATGCAACAATAGAATTGGTGTCGTTTCGAACGTGGCCATTTGGATCGCCCGGCCGGCCAGTGACTTTTTATTAGAGTGTCCCGCACCAATCCTGCACCGCTGCGTTGTTGTTTTTGTTGTTGTTTTGTTGAAAATTTTTGTTACTCTTCAAATCGGAGTGAATTGAGCCATTTAACTGCGTACCTGTGCACATGCATCTGTGAATTATCTTTCCTTAATGTAGTTTAAGAGTCGCTTTAAGACTTTTAGTCTCTTTTTGAATAAGCTGGTCATGTAGCTGCTCCTTTTAGCCAGGTTTGATGGTACTTCTGATTCAGTTAGCACCATGACCACTTCGCTCCACCTCGCGACTTTCAGTGCTCATGTTCCTCGAACAAGACTCACCCGCGTTTCGAGACCATCCCTCTCGAGTTTATAAAGTTTGTCAAGCCAACCGTCGTGGTGTTGCTACGTTGTGAGTGAGAACTATTACACAGAATTGAAGAAAACATGACTAGAGAACCGTAGCCTTTTGAAACAAGCCAAACAATTCAACGTCAGCAACAATGGAGGGGCGGTTTTAATGCGCGACTATACTCGTGTTTTCAGCTTCGCGATTTTCGCAAGGGCGCAGACGCCGACAAAATTGTTGCCAACCCGCGAAAATTAATTAACTGCCTTCTTTCTGCTACCAAATTTTTCATAATGATGGACTTCAAAGATGTTCCTTTGTCAGATCACTGTGGAATACATTAGCATTGGAATTTTTCGAATTTCCCGGCATTTTGATTTCTCTTTATTGCCAAGGTTAAATTTTGACGGGTGGCACATCGACCACATTGGTACCACTGCCGCCGTTCGTAGCCACCCTTGAGCCACGCCCTACCTTTTACATAACTTTTTTGCTTTCCCCACTCTCCTACCCAAATTGACTTCGTGACTCCTAGGATTTCTTGAAATCGTATTTTTTTTTCTCGTACGAATGCAACATAGGTTGGTGCCTAGATATATATGCACACCTGTTCCCAATATTTTTAAATCCATAAATTTGGGGTGAAATGGTTGATGTTTTTACATGCAATCAGCAGATTTTCGGTTTTGATTAGGCAGTTGAACCAAATATGAAGAAAAGATGATCTGTAAGCTACTTATCTTCTCATTTTCGTAATAATGGGATCAAACATTTTAGAAAATGGTGAAAAACTCTACTTCCAATTTTCTGACGTGACAGCCGGCAATGACCCACACGCTGAAAAAAGGCCTTTTCCCCCGTTTTTAGGGTAAAAAGGATTACAAAAAGGTGAGGACCATCTTGGCACCAACTCGGGGGTGCATTCTCCCTCAATCTTATTTGTTGGTCTTGAAAAAAAAAAGGTTGGATGAAATCTGAGTGTATGTTCCCTTGTGAGAATGAAATAGTGATGATCAGGACCTGATTGTGGACGAGGTAGGTTCAAGGGGCTTTATGCTTGACTCGCGCATAGTTACGCTTAAGTTTTACCAGTGTGGATCTTTCCAAAAGAAAACATCTTTTAGTTTAATCGTTAAAAATCTACGTGGACTTTTAGATGAATCTCTGTCCTGAATATGGATAGTTCAAAAGGGAAGCCCACATTCGATTTTTTTCGTCTAAGCACCAACTTTTCGTTCGTGTTCGCAGGTATCCCTCCTACGGCTGAAGCATCTTGACATTATTTGCGGGGAGTGGCCTGTCAATGATTCGTGGCTGCAAACCATGTACAGGCTGCCTGGACTGGAGCGTTTGGTCGTCGCGGATAGTTTCACAGGCAGCACGATGCCTGTGCCAACGACATCAATTGTCCCTGCCATCGAAGGATCTAATAGCCTCAGGTAACATGGTATTCCCGCACGGAAAAAAAGCTGTTGGTCGTCACGATCGGATGTACTCAGTTGTCGTTACAGTGATTGTGGGCATCGAACGGCTTGATTCAGACAACCAACTAGCGTATTTATCCTCTTACAAGTCACTTGGTCGGCCCGAGCCGATCGTCACAACCGACCGCTCTGCTCAAGGAAGTTAGGTTCTGAGAGTCGAGGTTTCACGGACCTGCCGCTTGGTGGCGGCGTCCCCGTTCGCCTATTAGTATTTCCGATTTATGTTACTCAAGTAAATAATTTTCGCAAATAATGTTGTCTGTTGCCTCGGTAAATATGTTCTCTAGCCGTCAGCTAAAAGTTCTGAACAAAATATTACACTGAAGTCGAGAAGAACGCATTTTCATGTTGCCTCTCGCTGGCGTCTACGTTCGGTCAATAGGTTAGGTTCAGGCATGATCCCCAACCACTTGTCTTCAGCTCAATCGGGCAGAGAGCGACGGTGCGGCGTCTTCGCCGTGCCGACTCATTCATTTTTGATTGTGATGCCAGTTTCGGATCACATTGTAAGAAACACTACATTTGCGAGGACCAAAGACCAAGTTGAAACAGAGTCTGCTGAGCGTTGCATAGAAATTCCCCACGAACGAGATATCGGCTGAAGTGTCAGATGAGTTGGTTCTCTCAACCAACTTTCTGGTCGTCTCGAAGAGGCACTAAAATCATACCTTCCCTGCAACTGATGGACGACGGTTCTAGGATACCTTATTCTTGGTTGTCACAATCAACACAGTCGTTCTGATGGCCAGCTTGCCTCAGCTCGGTGACATGGTTCTCACGATCAGAAATCCGGTAGTCCCCCAAGCTATCGAAAAAGATGGTCGTGGCGATCGAGATTCGGTCGCCACGACCACGGATTTTTTTCCGTGCGTATTCAGCAGTCAAAGAAGTCAACTAAGAGTAATCTCATTTGAGAAAAGACACTTTGTGCCGTGACCCCCTCCGATCGTCTTCATGTTTTGTGGGCATGATACCCACCCGAAAAGACTTCAAAGGCCAAAATATTATGTCCGGCAAAAATTTATTAGCTGAGTTATAGCCTAGCATAGATACACTTTCGGACCAAAAACATGAAATTATGTATTTTACCTCATGCAATCAATTTTTGCACCAAGTGGCTGGGACAGGCGTCCTGTTACGTAAAATTGTCCTGGGAACAAGGTTTTTCACACAGATGGGCCTGCGGCCTATATTTCTTGACGATATGGCCCAGAAACCACTAAGAAATGACAGTAATGGCACATTTGTCTTTGGATTTTCGGGGTAATTTTGTTTGCCCTAGTGTCTACTTAATCGATAGTACAAATCGTCTGGAATCCAATGAGCACCCACCCAGATTTTTATCTCCAGCCGTTTAGAAGTACTGGCGCTCCAAAGTTTGATTTTTGCGACATTTTACGTTTTTGGCGATGCTTTCACTTTTGGTTTGTAGTAAAAGCATCGTCATAAACGAGAAATGTCGCCAAAATCAAACTTTGGAGCGCCATAACTTCTAAACGGCTGGAGATAAAAATCTGGGCGGTTGCTCATTGGAATTCGGACGATATTTTTCTTACGATAAGGTACAAACAAGGGCAAACAAAATTATAAATTCCCGAAAATATCAAGACAAATGAGCTATTTTAGTCATTTTTAGTGGTTTTTAGGCTACGTCGCCAACAAATATTGACCGCAGGCCTAATCTGAATAACTAAGTCACATTTTACATTCATCAAATTTTAAATTTTAAAATCCGAGCGAGGAGTATTTTGACCAATCAGGCAGGGAGCGGCGTGAGACATAGCCTCCATGTTTTTTCTCGAAGCAGCAGGTCTTTGTATATAGTTGGTTGTCTTTGGGTACGTATAGTTCTTTCAGGCAAAATTTTAATGCTCTTGCAATGGCATTAACGACCCACGCCGTTGAAGGGCGTGATAGACTAGAGGGCATAGTTTTTATGCCTTTGTTTTCCTGGTGTAATGTGAAGTTGAGAAACCAGTCCCTCCCGCACGGAAAAAAAGAATTTGTTGTGACAACGAAAATGTACACTGCAAGAAAAAGTGTGAATAGTACAACAAATGTACAACAAAAACTGTACAATAAAAGTACAACACACTCTACCAAAAATGTCCTGTAAATGCCGTTAATTTATTACCAGTTTTCACTGTAGGTCAATTCACAGCGTTTACTGAGAACTGCTCACGGGATTCACTGTGATCTTGTTCGCGGTGTTCACTGTGCACTGAGAAAAAAGTCTGGTTAAAAGTACCAGACCAATCCTAGTTAAACGAGTACTAGTTACTCATACGAGAATCCTAGTAACTCTCACCAGATGATCAGTTGCAGTAACCAGATCGGGTGTTGTGACATTTACCAGGTGTCTGGTTAATAATCCTGGTAAATTTTACCAGACTGTTCCGTAATTGGCACCATACGTAAAACTTCGAAATATTCGTTTCAATTGAAATGTTCGGGTGTCAAAAAGTAAACTGCAACCGGTTTCGTTATTTTCGGAGTCTTAAATCCGAAAGAAACACTGGGAGTATTTCCCTGAGCCAGACACGTAGAGAGTCACCTGGCGGGGATCCCCTCGACCCACAGGCGACGTGGTGGCGCAGTGGTAACGTGCCCGTCTCACAAGTGTGAGATCCCGGTTCGAATCCGGAGGAGAGGAGGAGGAAAAAAAACAATTCAGAGGTTGTTCGTTAACGAAATCGACGTCACATCAGATTTCATCACTACGAAAAAATATTTTATTAAATTTTGGACTTCTTACAGTTTTGTAAGCACATTAACTACAGTCGTGCTCCTTTATTTGTGCCGCTTTCCGAGCGAAGCATGTGACAATCAGAAAGCCACTACCTGGGGCCCGGGGTGATCACCGCCGGACGCCGGGGCCGACCCGGGCTGGCCCCCGGCCGGGAAAGGGACAGCCGGCTTAATCCCCTGGGCCGGGCCAAATCCCCAGGCCAGATCGAACTCCGCATTCGTCCACTTTTTTAACTTTCTGATTTCAAAAATGAATAGCTGACTAAAAACTACCACAAATGAAAAAAAAAATCACCTCAAAATTCAAATTTTGACCCCACCGCGGCGAGCCGGCGCGCCGGGACAAAGAAGAGGACAGATAGAAAATTTGGGCACTTTCCGTGGTTCAATCACCACCAAATTTTGGCTATGAATTCTTGAATGCGCATCAAAACAGACCATCAAAAAAGGTATGGCTTTCGTCGGATAAAATTGTTAAAATTCGAACATTTCGTTAGGAAAAGGCAAAATCTTGCGCCGCTGGGGTCAAAATTTGAATTTTGAGGTGATTTTTTTTTTCATTTGTGGTAGTTTTTAGTCAGCTATCCATTTTTGAAATCAGAACGTTAAAAAAGTGGACGAATGCGGAGTTCGATCTGGCCTGGGGATTTGGCCCGGCCCAGGGGATTAAGCCGGCTGTCCCTTTCCCGGCCGGGGGCCAGCCCGGCGTCCGGCGGGATCGGCCCACGGCACCTGAGCTCCGGGTGGTGGGGATGGCTCCGGGATAAATAGCAAGCCAGAAAAGCGGCACAAATAAAGGAGCACGACAACCAGGATGTTTGGTAAAAACTACCAGAAGGGGACCTGGCGGCATTGTGAGGATAACTATAAATCTGGTACGGTTTACTAGACTGAGGCCAACTAGACAGTTTAGTATTTTTTACCAGAATTCTAGTTGAGTTATATTCTATCAGACAGTCTGGTATTTGGTACCAGGATTCTGGTTATCGTTACTAGACTTTTTTTTCAGTGTGATCTGGTCCCCAGTAAACACTGTGAGTTTGACGCCGCTGAGCACCGAAGGACTGCAAATCAGGCTCCAATTCACGGCGTTTACTGTGGCCAGATCACAGTGAACACTGTAACCGAGATCACAGTGAACGCCGTGAACTAGTTCACAGCAAACGCCGTGAATTGCATAACAGCAAACATTGGTAATAAATTAACGGCGTTGACAGGACATTTTTTGTAGAGTGCAGGGATTGTAGAAAGTACAACGACACTCTACCAAAAATGTCCTGTCAATACCGTTAATTTATTACCAGTTTCCACTGTAGATCAATTCACGGCGTTTACTGTGATCTGCTCACGCGATTCACTGTGATCTTGTTCGCGGTGTTCACTGTGATCAATGGTCTACAGTAAACACTGTGAGTTTGACGCCGCTGAGCACCGAAGTACTGCAAATCACGCTCCAATTCACGGCGTTTACTGTGGCCAGATCACAGTGAACACTGTAACCGAGATCACAATGAACGCCGTGAACTAGTTCACAGCAAACGCCGTGAATTGCATAACAGCAAACATTGGTAATAAATTAACGGCGTTGACAGGACATTTTTTGTAGAGTGGAGAATTGTACAAACCACAACGAGGCCTGCACTGCCCAGCACTCGTCATGCCTGTTCCATTGTACTTTGTACAACAATTGTTGTACTTTGAAAGTACAATAAAAACCTGATAAAAAATTTGCCAGAAATTTGTGTACTTTTGTTGTGGTTATTTCCTGCAGTGTATGTTGATTTTGGGATAGCAAAAAAAAAGTTGTTAGGCGTACTATTAATTTTTTGTGAGAACGAACACTTTGCTCTCACGGCAAATAATTCGTCAGGAGTACAAACATTCATTTTCATTATGTTCAGTACTCCTGACGAATTGATAGTACGCCCAACAACTTTTTTTAGCTATCTCAAAATCAACATATATTTTCGCTTTCACAACACACTGTACAAAATTCCGTACTTTTGTACGGTACAGAAAAATATTGTACGGAGGTACGGAGAACAGTACGGAACGTTCCGTACTTGCTCCATATGAACCCATGTTAATGGGTACGGAAAAAAAGTACGGAACGTTCCGTAGTTGGCAAGTACGGACGGTCCAGGCAAATTATTGACCAGACATGTTCCGTTTTTTTTTCCGTACTTTTTTCTCACAGTGCGAATTCTGTTTTTACGTGCGAGACGCGAACTTCGGGTGGAGGGGCTGTGGGCTGACCGACTGGCGCCGCTCTGCCCGCAGGTGCTTCAAGTGGTCCGGCCCCGTGCTGTACGGCCACGTGCTGGACGTGCTGGAGCGCCACGCCGCGTCGCTGCAAGAGGTGTCCCTCACCACGTGGTACATGTGGGAGGGCCTGCCCGGCGCCCTGCGTCGCCTGGCCTCCATGCCGGCGTTGCGGTCCGTGCGACTGGACCTGTCCTCCTCGGCCCCGGCCAGCGCCACCACCAGGCTGCAGCCGGCCGTCGTCGGCGAGGTGGCGGCGCTGCTGCGCGCGCTGCCGCTCACGTCGCTGGCTCTGAGGGTGGAGCCCGACCTGGGCGACCTGGCGCCGGGGCAGCTGCTGCTGGCGGCGGCCGAGTCCGACAGGGCGCGCCTGGAGAAGCTGGACGTGCGGATTGAGAAGTCGCTCCAAGGCGGCCCCACCAGCGACCCGGCGTTCCTGCAGGTAGGGCGGGGCGGTGTTTTTGTCACGGTGAAAACGGAACCTGGTTTTCCCAGGAACTCCCTGGAAATCGCCTATGCCTTCACCATTGGCTTCCTGGGAAAACCAGGTTCCGTTTTTACCGTGATGTCAACATCGATATCTAATGTTTTAAACTTTCCAATACACTCTGCAAGAAGTGTGTGCCAGGCAAGCACTTCGCACTTCTTGGTGCTTGCCTGCAGGCACACACTTCTTTGCTGCATGCCTCAGGCACTCACTTCTTGCTTGTATGCCTGAGGCACCAAGAAGTGTGTGCCTTGGGTTGATGGTGCGTGCTTGGCACAAACTTGGGATTGCAGAGCACACACTAAATGTCATGGGACATCTTTTGTCTTACGGGTTATGCATGCAATTTTAAGCTCACTTGACGCTGATACAACTTTGTTCCCGCCTGGCGACCTATTTTGTCCGACGACTAAACTTTCATTAGACAATTTGCCCCATCTGGCGCACATAAAATTGCTTCACCATCGGTTGCGTCTAAAATTGCGTCATTCATGGGACAGAAAAAGTGCCATCATGTTTGATATCGAATATTGAATTGTTGTGTTCCAATGTATTGAACAACATCCCTAGTTTTCACAGTCAGAATCTTCACCTGAAAAAAGCTTCTCTTTACAGTTTTTTTTTTTGTGACTGGGCCACGCATTGTTCACTTTTCTCCATTTTGTCATTAAAATGGCAGAGCAATTTTCAATATTGGTTATTGGTTTGCCAGTACTCTATGTTGGATATTTATATTAGAAGCATCAATGTAGAGATATTGGAAATTAGCAGTTTTAAAATATTGAAATCGTATTCAATGCATTGAAACACCGTCCCCCTTTGCCTGCAGGCGCTGTGCTTCGCGCTGCCGAGCATGCCGCTGCTCAAGGAGCTCACCGTGGACTCTGTCTACGAAGAGGCGCTGCTCGGCGTCGTCTGCCCCGAGAGCACGCCGTCGCTGAGGATGCTCCGCATCGAGGCCAACCCGCTGCCGCCGCACTGCTGCCACGCCTGGCTGCACCGGCCGGCCGTCAGGGCGTGCGTCTCGCGCAACGCGCGGCTGCACCTGGTGGTGAAGCGGCCCGCGGCCTGCCAGTGCCACCTCTGCGCCGGCCTGGCGTGCTACTGCCTGGCGCACGCCGACAGGCACAAGGCCCTGGGCCTCGTCGGCCACGCCGCGGGCACGGACGAGCTCTGCACCGACACCAAAGAAGTCTTCGGGGGAACCTGCTGGATTGTCATCGCGTGAGCCCCTCGCGTTTTCATGCTGCCAGAATGGTGTCGCTCGTTATTGTATTTACTCTGCTCAGTGCTTTCTCCACTTAAATAAGGCCCTTTTTGTTTGTCTGTAAGGAATTTTACACAGCTCCGTTTTCCTCATTGAAACCGGCAAACTGCTGGACTATTTTTGTTCTATAATTTTTCTGGAGTGAATAAATAATAGCTAATTAGCGATCAAGCCATTTCTTGCTACCTTGAATAACTTTCCGCCAAAAAAGTAACTATTTGAGTTATTTTCTAACCAGATGTGAAACCCTGGCACTTAAGACTGTCCACAACAAAGAAATGAATGAAAGAGACTTTCTGCAACACATATATTTTTGGGCGTACGATTTTCGTTTCATCCATTCCTAAAGAGATGTGAAGTGTTACATTACTATTTGCATTACATTTCTACAGCACATTTATTGAAATGATTTTGGATGTACAGCATTCGTTTTACATTTCATGTCTATGGTATAAAAATCCAAAGAAGAAATGTGATTATATGTTACAATAAATTACGATTTCCTGAAACACGAAGATTACTGTGCTGCTCTGTAACATTTTGCCACAGAGGCGTGCGTAGTTTTTGGGTCTTTGTTTCACCACTGCACACTAAATGTTACGTACAAATTTGTACGAGACATCACAATTTTTTGTGCTCACGAAATTTTTGTACAATTTTCATGCGAAAAACTGCACATTTTTCGCCATTTTTGTACAGAATTGTTCAAAATTTTGTACAAACTTGTAAGAGAAGTTCGTGTGCACAACAAACTGTTGTGTCTCGTACAAAATTTGTGCAAAAACATTCAGTGTACACTCTAGAGTTCTTACGGATTACTTCATCCGTATTACAAACAAATTCATCCGTACCTTACAAACATTTTTGCGCAAGCGTAATACGGATAGCCTGATTTGTAACATACGGATGGCTTTGTCCGTAACAGATGTAGCTTTGTAACTACGGATAGTCTTACAGAATCCAAAGTAATTGCATTCATCGACACTCGTTATACAAACAGAATTCATAAATTACTCGTTGCCATACTGAGCGGAAACAGATAAGCAGTATATTATACTTTTTAATGCCAATTATCTTTTTTATGCACTAGCAAGCACTTTTACTTTTATTTGGCACATAATAGAGCTATTGATTGAGTTACTTGCTGATACGATAGACACTCTTGGGTAACGGTGGAGCAGGGCCACAGCAGAAAAAGATGTACTTACCGCCCAAATTTGGTGTTGATTATGAAATCACAGCATTTCAATAATCATACTGAGCAACTGTTCAATCTAACCAACCAGTTATTGTGGGCAGTTCCACAAAACATTCTACCATACTCAAGCTATACTGTAAATGTTTTCTTTTGAAGTTGGTGCGCTGGTGAGGTTATACTGTCTGCTGATCTGATACCGTATGCTGGAAGAACCGAGTGACAACAAAAATCACATGCACTGACTTCTTCAGTGTTTGCAAACAATGCCATCCTTGATGGACTTTGGGGTGAGACACCATCGCTGACACCAATTGTGAAGGCCTTAATTGTGCCTAAAATCGGCAGCACAAACAGCGGAGCGGAGTGTTTTCATTTTTTCTAAACACCGTCCCGCTAAACTTTTCATACGTGAAAGTATGAGAAATCCAACATTCACAATCACCCCTTTGTTTCTGTGTAGATTAACCTCGTTTAGTTTGGTTTAAAATCAGAAACTACGATGATTTGCAAGTTTCTGGTTCATAAAAGTTATTAATTCACTTATTCTTTGAGAAGTGATGCTTGTGTCTGCGAAAACTGGACGGCTGTCAGTCATGTTAACACACACTTATCTGCTGTGGAGGATTGGAGACGTTGGGGGTGCTTTTATTATCACAGGTAAATTCTCTGCTTCCCAACAACATTCATTTATAAATATAACAATACTTTTGTTTATATTTCAATTCTTTCTTCAAAAAAAATGTTAGGTTAGGTTTTTTAGAGTGTCATTTAATAACTGTTGGACTACGGCCAAAATGGCACTTAGAAGATTTTAGTTTGGATAATCAATAGGTGAATGATGCAATATACAGGAAAAGTACTATTCTTAGTTTGAAAACTAATGAAACTATATTGCACCTTATTAGTCTTCATATTGAAGTTAAGTTGATGTTAATATGGATTGGTAGGTTCAGATCAGGATTACGGACAAGTTGAGTTGATAATACGGATGGGTTTAGTAGCCGTAATTATGGATCAATAGTTGTGTTTGTATTTACGGATAATTTTGTCCGTACAGAAATTCTCAAAACCTGAAGATGCTTTTTATCCGTAATACAGATGTCAAACTCCGTAATATGGACAAGCCCATCCGTAATTACAATGAATCAATTTTGTCCGTAGCTTACGGTGATGACTTATCCGTAAGAACTCTAGAGTGTATGAGATGAAGCGCGCCGCTAGAAGTCCTCGTACGCGACCCGGTCGCACTGCTGGCACTGCACGGTGCAGGCCGGCAGCGCGGCGCGCGCCACAGTGAGCTGGTCGCGGCAGGCCCCGCGGTCGTGGTCGTGGCGCCTGAACACGAGGCGGGCGAGGGCGGCGCACGGGGCCAGCAGGGCGGCCAGGTCGCTGCAGCCCTCGGGCCACTCGCCGCCGGGCACGGCGCCCATGTCCAGCCACAGCACTTCCAGTGCAGGCCCGTGGGCCAGCAGCAGGGACCGCGTGGTGGCGAGCGGCAGGCCCCCCACGCGCAGCCACTGCAGGCCGCTGCGGTGCGGCAGCGCGGGCAGCACGGGCGGCGCCTCGTCCAGGTCGCCCTCCGTGCACTGCAGGTCCAGACGCCGCAGACGGGGCATGCCGTGCACCGCCAGCAGGTGGCCCTCGCCAGGGTTCCACACTCGCAGCTCCTCCAGCGACGGCGAGGCGCTGCGCAGAAGTTCCAGGAACCAGGCCGGGTCCGAGCTGCAGAACACGTTGTTCATCCAACGCACCTGCCGGCAGCAAACGCAAACAGTGTCAGGGACCATGAGAGAAATAATGAAGATTGTGGCTGTTAAACTAATGCCACTCTTCACTGTTTCCCAAAGAAGGTGTTTACCGTACCCTGGGATACAGTAGACACTGTGCTATGGAACGGCGTTCGCTGTATCCCGGGAACCTGCATCCACTGTACCTTGGAAACTGTTTCAAAACGGCATTCAGTATAACCGTAAGATAAAGGCGAAATTCCAAAGTCCTGTAGGAACGTTAAAATGACGGAATGAATTCATCTCAACAAGACGAACAAAAAATGATAAGCATGTTATGGGCTCAGACTCGAAATTCAAGAGATATCGGCATCAAAAGTCTAAAAAAGTGGGATTTAGGACCGTAATTTGATCAGTCCGATGTTTTGGAGTCCAAAACCACTATTTTTGACTTCTGATCACGATTCCCGCTGAATGACGAGTCTGAGACCATAATATGCCCATCATTTTTTGTTCGAATTGTTAAGATGAATTCATTTCCGTCATCCAATCGTTCCTATCGTAATTTTGGAATTTCGCCTTTATGTTAGGGTTATACTGAATGCAGTGTCTAAAATTTTTCCCAAAGGTACGGGGAAATGCGGGTTCCCGGGATACAGTGAACGCCGTTCCTGGAGGTACAGTGTCTACTGGGGCCCCAGCGTACGGAAAACCACCTTCTTTCGGTAAACAGTGGAGAGTGGCATTAGGTTTAACAGCCACAATCTTCATTATTTCTCTCAGTGCCCTAGGGTGGTCCATTTTTTTTAAAAGTTTCAAAAATAGAGGAGCGCCGTCCAGATTCTGAAAAGGTGTAAAATCATGAATTTTGATACAAATATGATAAGATTTGGACCATTTCTTAGGGGTCCATCAACGCGCCTGAACTTTAAAGAAAAGTTGAAAAGTAGCGGTATACTAAAATCGATGCTGTTACGAGAGTCTTTGCCCGATTTTCGATTGCAAAACGGCGATTTTTTCAGAAAAGTGCGCTCTACTTGATGATGTACATAAAATGACGATCCGACGCATTGCCTATTTTCCAGGGGCGTACAATCCCGTTTTTAGCCCCCAAAATCCAACATGTTCTTGCGTTTTGAAGGTGTTTGAGTCGTCCGTTTCAAATTTTTTGGGTCACCATTCGACGCGCCTGATAAAAAACCCTTGGAAAAATGTCTCAGGCGTAAAAATCGGTTGGTTTGCCTACTATACAGGAGCAAAAAACCACTGAAATTCGCTTAAAAATTGCTTTTTCGGGATACGAAATATCCTTTTTGGCATTGGGTCGGATTTCTTGTGGTGCCATTTGACGAACCTGGTCAAAAACTTTCGATTACCGTTTCGAGCGCCTGAACCAGAGGGTCGCGTATCCTACAGACGAATTTTTCGACATTCGACTTTTTTTGCTTGTAGGGTCGGCAATCCACCGGTTTTTGTACACCCAAAAGTCTGTAGGATACGCGACCCTCTGGATTCAGGCGCTCGAAACGGTAATCGAAATTTTTTTGACCAGGTTCGTCAAATGGCACCACAAGAAATCCGACCCAATGCCAAACAGGATATTTCGTATCCCGAAAAAGCAATTTTTAAGCGAATTTCAGGGGTTTTTTTTGCTCCTGTATAGTAGGAAAAACCAAACCGTTTTTGACGCCTGAGACATTTTTCCAAGGGTTTTGATCAGGCGCGTCGAAGGGTGCCCCAAAAAAATTCGATCGGACGACTCAAACACCTTAAAAAACGCAAGAACATGTTGGTTTTGGGAGGCAAAAAACGGGATTGTACGCCCCTGGAAAATAGGCAATGCGTCGGATCGTCATTTTATGTACATCATCAAGTAGAGCGCATTTTTTCTGAAAAGATCGCCGTTTTGCAATCGAAAATCGGAAAAAGACTCTCGTAACAGCATCGATTTTAGTATACCGCTACATTTTCAACTTTTTTTTTAAAATTCAGGCGCGTTGATGGACCCCTAAGAATGGTCCCCAAAACTTTTATATTTGTATCAAAATTCATGATTTTACACCTTCTTTCAGAATCTGGACGGCGCTCCCCCTATTTTTGAAACTTTTAAAAAAATGGACCCCCCCTAGTTCACTGAGAGAAATAATGAAGATTGTGGCTGTTAAACCTAATGCCACTCTCCACGTTTACCGAAAGAAGGTGTTTACCGTACGCTGGGGCCCAGTAGACACTGTACCCCCAGGAACGGCGTTTACTGTATCCCGGGAACCCGCATCCGCTGTACCTTGGAAACTGTTCAGACACTGCATTCAGTATAACCGTAACATAAAGGCGAAATTCCAAAAATTTCGATAGGAACGATTGGATGACGGAAAGAATTCATCTTAACAATTCGAACAAAAAAAGATGGGCATATTATGGTCTCAGACTCGTCATTCAGCGGGGAAACGTGATCAGAAGTCAAAAAAAAGTTGGAAATTTTTGGGCTCCAAAACATCGGACTGATCAAATTACGGTCCTAAATCCCACTTTTTTAGACTTTTGATGCCCATATCTCTTGAATTTCGAGTCTGAGCCCCTAACATGCTTTTCATTTTTTTTTTCGTCTTGTTTAGATGAATTCATTTCCGTCATTTTAAAAGTTCCTACAGTGACTTTGGAATTTCGCCTTTATCTTACGGTTATACTGAATGCCGTGTCTGAACAGTTTCCAAGGTACAGTGGATGCAGGTTCCCGGGGTACAGCGAAAAGCCGTTCCAAACAGGCACAGTGTCTACTGTATCCCAGGGTACGGTAAACACCTTCTTTTTGGTAAACAGTGAAGAGTGGCATTAGGTTTAACAGCCACAATCTTCATTATTTCTCTCAGTGGTCCCTGACACTGTTTGCGTTTTTCTGCCGGCAGGTGCGTTGGATGAACAACGTGTTCTGCAGCTCGGACCCGGCCTGGTTCCTGGAACTTCTGCGCAGGCCTCGCCGTCGCTGGAGGAGCTGCGAGTGTGGAACCCTGGCGAGGGCCCCCTGCTGGCGGTGCACGGCATGCCCCGTCTGCGGCGTCTGGACCTGCAGTGCACGGAGGGCGACCTGGACGAGGCGCCGCCCGTGCTGCCCGCGCTGCCGCACCGCAGCGGCCTGCAGGGGTGCGCGTGGGGGGCCTGCCGCTCGCCACCACGCGGGCCCTGCTGCTGGCCCAGGGCCTGCACTGGGAAATGCTGTGGCTGGACATGGGCGCCGTGCCCGGCGGCGAGTGGCCCGAGGGCTGCAGCGACCTGGCCGCCCTGCTGGCCCCGTGCGCCGCCCTCGCCCGCCTCGTGTTCAGGCGCCACGACCACGACCGCGGGGCCTGCCCGACCAGCTCACTGTGGCGCGCGCCGCGCTGCCGGGCCCGCACCGTGCAGTGCCAGCAGTGCGACCGGGTGCGTTTCGAGGACTTCTAGCGGCGCGCTTCATCTCATACACTCTAGAGTTCTTACGGATAAGTCATCACCGTAAGCTACGGACAAAATTGATTCATTGTAATTACGGATGGGCTTGTCCATATTACGGAGTTTGACATCTGTATTACGGAAAAAAAGCATCTTCAGGTTTTGAGAATTTCTGTACGGACAAAATTATCCGTAAATACAAACACAACTATTGATCCATAATTACGGCTACTAAACCCATCCGTATTATCAACTCAACTTGTCCGTAATCCTGATCTGAACCTACCAATCCATATTAACATCAACTTAACTTCAATATGAAGACTAATAAGGTGCAATATAGTTTCATTAGTTTTCAAACTAAGAATAGTACTTTTCCTGTATATTGCATCATTCACCTATTGATTATCCAAACTAAAATCTTCTAAGTGCCATTTTGGCCGTAGTCCAACAGTTATTAAATGACACTCTAAGAAACCTAACCTAACATTTTTATTGAAGAAAGAATTGAAATATAAACAAAGTATTGTTATATTTATAAATGAATGTTGTTGGGAAGCAGAGAATTTACCTGTGATAATAAAAGCACCCCCAACGTCTCCAATCCTCCACAGCAGATAAGTGTGTGTTAACATGACTGACAGCCGTCCAGTTTTCGCAGACACAAGCATCACTTCTCAAAGAATAAGTGAATTAATAACTTTTATGAACCAGAAACTTGCAAATCATCGTAGTTTCTGATTTTAAACCAAACTAAACGAGGTTAATCTACACAGAAACAAAGGGGTGATTGTGAATGTTGGATTTCTCATACTTTCACGTATGAAAAGTTTAGCGGGACGGTGTTTAGAAAAAATGAAAACACTCCGCTCCGCTGTTTGTGCTGCCGATTTTAGGCACAATTAAGGCCTTCACAATTGGTGTCAGCGATGGTGTCTCACCCCAAAGTCCATCAAGGATGGCATTGTTTGCAAACACTGAAGAAGTCAGTGCATGTGATTTTTGTTGTCACTCGGTTCTTCCAGCATACGGTATCAGATCAGCAGACAGTATAACCTCACCAGCGCACCAACTTCAAAGAAAACATTTACAGTATAGCTTGAGTATGGTAGAATGTTTTGTGGAACTGCCCACAATAACTGGTTGGTTAGATTGAACAGTTGCTCAGTATGATTATTGAAATGCTGTGATTTCATAATCAACACCAAATTTGGGCGGTAAGTACATCTTTTTCTGCTGTGGCCCTGCTCCACCGTTACCCAAGAGTGTCTATCGTATCAGCAAGTAACTCAATCAATAGCTCTATTATGTGCCAAATAAAAGTAAAAGTGCTTGCTAGTGCATAAAAAAGATAATTGGCATTAAAAAGTATAATATACTGCTTATCTGTTTCCGCTCAGTATGGCAACGAGTAATTTATGAATTCTGTTTGTATAACGAGTGTCGATGAATGCAATTACTTTGGATTCTGTAAGACTATCCGTAGTTACAAAGCTACATCTGTTACGGACAAAGCCATCCGTATGTTACAAATCAGGCTATCCGTATTACGCTTGCGCAAAAATGTTTGTAAGGTACGGATGAATTTGTTTGTAATA